TGGTCTCCATATTTCAGAGTCACCAGGGAAGCTTATTGACCATAATAGATGCCTCAGCCCTCTGGCTTGCTGACCAGAACCTATAGTTTTTGTTTGTTTGTTTTTATACAGCAGGTTCTTATTGGTTATCCATTTTATACATATTAGTGTACGTACGTCAATCCCGATCTCCCAATTCATCCCACGCTCGCCACCTCCCGCTTTCTCCCCTTGGAACCTATAGTTTTTGTAAGCTCCCAGGTGAGTCTAATGCAGAGAGTGGTCTTTTAATGCATAATTAAGACCACCAGATAGCACTGCTCAGAGCATGGGGCCCACCCACATTAGAATTATTAGTGATCCTGAGACAACCCCATAGCTGAAGAATCAGGGCTTTGAAGATGAGACTAGAAACCAACATCTTAAACTACCTTCCCAGGTGATTCTTCTCGCATGTCCCAGACGCCGCTAAAGGGTTTCGAGGGATTCTGTCCTTTAACGCAACCACCTGTGAGATATAGAAACCCTTAGTTACTGTACAGTTTAAGAGAGTGGGGCTCAGAAACAGGCTACTGGGGAGTCTGATGAAAGCCAGATCTTGCCTTTCTCTCTGCCCTGTGTCTTGGCTCCTGAGTGGGCCTGCATGCTAGTGGGGACTTGGCTTATGGACTTGGCTTATGGTCTCCTTTGTTTCAGAAGCACGAGTTCTCCGTGGACATGACCTGTGAAGGCTGCTCTAATGCAGTCACTCGGGTCCTCAACAAGCTGGGAGGTGAGTGTGTGGCCCTCGGATGGGGGTGGGGAGACAGATACACTTATATTAAATGCATGTAGGCATGGAATGGGAGAAGCTTGAGTTTAAGCTGATAACAGTAACACCAAAACATATTGAGTACTTAGCATATGCCAAGTACTCTGCTTTGTGGCTTCCGTGGATCACATCATTTAATCCTCACCCTGACCATTTCAGGTAGCTGCTTTGACCATCTCCATTTCAAGCAGGAGGGAACTGAAGTTCAGAGAGGTTAAGTAACCTGTTAGGATCACACAGCCAGTAGTGGCAGAGCTGGGATTTGGCCATGTGGAGCCCTGGCAGTACTACTTAGTATGTTGGTAATCACATTCATCTCCAGTGTGATAACTTTTGTTATGTTATGTGACACATTTGAGTGTTATTTTCTATTAAGATTTTTAGAAGCTGTAACATTTTAAGAAATAAACTTTGGATCAGTCCTGTGCAGAACTCCTAAAGCATCTCTTTTGGGTGTATTTAGAAAACGATTAATCTCCTCCAGTCCCCTCAGTTCTCATCTGGGGAAACTGAGGTCCAGAGAGGGCTGGGGTCTGGTCCTGGGGCTCCATGAAGTCGTGACAGAGCTGTGGTCAGAGTTCTGGTAGTGCTGGGGCAGTCAGCCTTTTCACCCTGGATAATAGTAACACCCAGTTTTCAAAGGGCTTTCATGTCGATGTCATCTCGTTAGCACTTAACACCGTCCTCTGAGCTGTACTTCCGTCTGTGGAATGGGGATGTTGACACCAGGCCCCAGGAGGGGAAGTGACTTGCCCAGTGTCCCACAGTGAGTCCATGGCTGGTTTCTAGACTGTAAACTGGAATCGGAACTGTAGAAGAATCTGAAACAGTGAAAAGAACCTGGCTGCTGACTTGCCATGTGACCTTGGCCTCCTCTCCCGGGGCCTGGCTTTCCCCAGCTACAGTATGGGAAAGTCAGCCTCTCAGCTTTGCTGTGGATGCTTTAACAGTATAACTCTGCTCACAAGCCCTTCTATACAAGCACCAGCTCTGCATGAAGTGAGGGAGGGGTGCTTTCACTCTTGCTGGCTCCAGGACACCTGTCCAGGCACCTGGGCTACCAGAAACACAGCTTGAAATCCACTGGGTCAGATGATGCCAGAGTGTCTTCCAGCTCTGTGATGCCACCAGAATATTTGCTCCAAAGAGGAGGGAGACACTTCTGAACCAAAAGACAAAACCCAGAGTGCAGCCAGGATACATTGCCCTCTCCCTGGTATCCATTAGGTACAGAGTCAGAGGTTAGGACTAAATCCCGTGCCGTGTGCTTTTTCAGGCCCCTTCACTGGTGCCTGAGGACCTGCCTTTGAGCTTGGGCAGGTATCTCTCCCTCTTTCACTACTATCCCCACTTGGGGTGGCCTCTTAAGACGGGTCAGAAGGGTTTTCTGAGCTAGTCGGGGCCACAGATGAGCAGTGCTGGACCAGTGGCATACTTGAACTGGAGAGCCCACAGTTGGCTCTGACCCCAACTCCTTCATGTACCGATACGGAACCTGAGGCCTGTGATAGGCAGGACCCAGCCAGTCAGTGGTGAAGCCAGGCCTGGGATTCTCCCTCTGTTGTTTCAAGAAGATCCATTTGTACCTATTCCCCTATGCCACCGAGGGGCTTCAAATGGGCACAGCCCTTTAGCAGGGCAGTTTTGCAAGACCTATGAATATTTAAAGTGTGCTAGGCCCCTGTTTTCAATAGCCCGCGAGACTTTGCAGAGGCCTTCCTCTTTTATCTCGGCCGCCGACATGCCATCTGGACTAAGGAAGACCCGGAAACTTAGGGGCCACCTGAGCCATGGCCATGGCTGCATCATCAAACACTGGAAGCACCCGGGAGGCCACGGTAATGCTGGTGGCATGCATCACCACAGGATCAACTCTGACAAATATCATGCAGGATACTTTGGGAAAGTTGGTATTAGGTGTTACCCCTTAATGAGGAGCTAGAGCTTCTGCCCAACGGTCAACCTTGATAAACTGTGGACCTTGGTCAGCAAGCAGACACGGGTAAATGCTGCCAAGAACAAGACTGGAGCTGCTCCTGTCATTGATGTGGTGTAATTGGGTTACTGCAAAGTTCTGGGGAAGGGGAAGCTCCCAAAGCAGCCTGTCATCAGGAAGTCCAAATTCTTCAGCAGAAGAGCTGAGGAGAAGATGAAGGGTGTGGGTGGGGCTTGTGTCCTGGCAGCTTGAAGCTACATGGTGGGAGATTCATTAAATCAGGGGTCCCCGACACCATGCCCTCCCCAGCCCAGCCCACCCCACAGAACAGGAGGTGAGCAGCGGGCGAGTGAGCGAAGCTTCATCTGCCGCTCCCCACCGCCCTCCGCATCGTCCTCCCCGTCGCCGCTCCCCACCGCCCTCCGCATCGCCCTCCCCATCGCCGCTCCCCACCGCCCTCCGCATCGCCCTCCCCATCGCCGCTCCCCATCGCCTCCCCATCGCCCTCCCCAGCCCTCCCCATCCCCGCTCCCCATCGCCTGAAAAACTGTCTTGCATAAAACTGGCCCCTGGTGCCAAAAAGTTTGGGGACCGCTGCATTAAAGGATAACAAGTGATTTCCTCATCTGGTGTGAGTGTAGGTTCTTTGGCACTTCTACCTCCCTACCTGTACCAAAACCCACATAACGGGTTCTGGGAGTTAGGGAATGAAGACCTGGGCTCCTTTGCCAGCTCCCCTCAGAGTATGGAAGACATGGCACCAACACTTAGAATAAGGCCTTGGCTGGTTACCTAATTTGAGGCTTCTCACCTTGAAAGTGAGAATGCTACCTGTTGATCATGGACATATTGTTGAAAAGCCTATTGCCATTGTATGCTCTGAATTTATAAATGAGTGGGAGAATGTGCCCTTAACTGTTCCATGGGACTCAAGGGCGGAAAATTCATGATCTTTACCACATTTTGCTGAGTCACGTTGGAAAGATGGGTCAGTGGTAGGATAGAAGTGGTTCTTTGGAACTTACTTCCTCAGTCTAAGGTTCTTCCACCTGGCTTCCTCATCTCAGACCAAACCATTCTGGTCCTAATCAGAATGTTGGAATGGGGCCCAACAATCTGAATTTTAAACACACCAGGGCTTTTTTTATCAGAGTGGTTCGGATTCTAGAAAGCAGTTGCCAGGACTTATGGGTCCCTGTGCATAGGAGTCTTAATGTTCAACGAAATACATCATGAAATGCTAATGAAAAAAAAAGTGTGCCAGTCTGTTGCCCCACAATTTCCATTCTATGAATTCACGGTATAGAAATATTTCCACAAGTTTTATAAGATACGTTCAAGTATGTTTACATGGTTGTGATCATAGTGAGAGATTGGAGGCAACCTCAGTGTCCTTCACAGGGGGACTGAGTAGATGGATGGTACATCCACACTATGGGATATGGTGTAGCTGTTAAAAAAGAATGAAGTAAGTCTGTATGCACTGAGATGGCAAGATATCCTGGACATTGGAAAGTGACATATAGCAAGACCTGTTTACTTTTCATTTGTCCATCAGGGAGAAACACTGGATAGGGGCCCTATTGTTCAGTGATCCTTAGAGGTAGGAAATAGTAGGGGCCTTACAGTTTCAAATTTTATTCAGAAATGCTTGCCTTTTTTATTTTTAAATGGTGTGTCTGGGGACTTCCCTGGCAGTCCAGTGGTTAAGACTCCGCACTTCCACTGCAGGGGGGCACGGGTTCAATCCCTGGTAGGGAAATTAAGATCCCACATGCCGCGCGGCACGGCCAAAAAAAAAAAAAAAGTGTGTCTGTATTACTTTTGCAATTAAGAAAAAAAAATTTTTAAAGCCCCCATCTAGAGCAGGGATGGGCAAACTACAGCCCCTTGGGCCCAATCCAGCCCACAGCCTGTTTTTGCACAGCTGACAATGGTTTTTACATTTTTACAGGGTTGTAAAAACAATATACAGAAGACTATGCAGCCCACAGTTCCTAAAACATGTGCTCTGTGGCCCTTTTCAGGAGAAGTGTGCCGATCCTTGGTCTAGAAGAGAGGGGAAGGGTGGTGGGCAATAATTCAGGAGCCTGACTGGGAATGTCTCTGTCCCCCCTCACCCCCCTTCCTGCAGGAGTTCAATTTGACATTGACCTGCCCAACAAGAAGGTCTGCGTCGACTCTGAGCACAGCGTGGACACTCTGCTGGAGACCCTGGGGAAAACAGGAAAGGCCGTTTCCTACCTCGGCCCCAAGTAGCGAGGGCCTGGGCCCCCAGCTTGCAGGATGGACCAAAGTGGGCAGGTGGGTGAGGCCCCAACACTGCAACAAAATATGTCTCTACCGGATGCAAATCACAAGCTCAGGGACTCCTTCCAGCCCCCTGTGAGTAGACAGAGCACTTCGTGATGTCTCCCAGGGTCCCCTCTATGACTTCAGGGTACATTTCATGATCAGCAGGGTTTAAGTTTAAGCATATGGCCCTGAGCAGTGTGTCTTTTGCTTTGATAACTTAACGGTCCCATCAGAGGTGACACCTACGCCCTGAGCCTTGTGGTCCGGTGCACTGACCAGGTGAGTTAGTTCACCTTGGCCTCTGTCCCCACTTGGAACTGTTCTCAGCTTCCTGAGCATGCCCTCTGCCCAGACTGGTGCAAAGACAATACTGTGGTCAATCTGGTAGCTTCTTAAAACCTACCATATGACCCAGCCATTCCTTTGCCAGGTATTTACCCAAGAGAAATGGAAAGCACTGTCCATATGAAGACTTGTAAATACTGAGAGCAGCTTTACTTGTAATAGCCAAAAGCTGGAAACAACCCAATGTCCATCACTAGGTGAATAGATAAACAAATTGTGGTATAGCCATAGAATTGAATACTATTGTCCATGCAACAACTGCAATGAATCTCACATACTGTATGATATCATTTATATAAAGTTCTAAAAGATGCAAACGAACCTATAGCGACCAAAGCAGATCCGTGATTGCTTGATGATGTGGGGTGGCAAGGAGAGGCAGGAGGAGACTTTGGGGTTGGAAATGTTCATTATCTTGAGTGTGGTGAGGGTATGTGGGTGTATTCAATTGATAAGTCACAGATCATCACATTGTGCACTTAAAATATGTCTACGTATAGCATGTCAGTTACACCCCCAATAAAGCTGTTAAAGGTGAAAAACAACACAAACAAAAAACCGCAGCGTGTTTAAGCTGGATGTTCCCTTTGATTTTACATAGTCCAGAAAGGAGGCTAGTGACACTGTGCCAGCACCCTTCACTGCGGAACCAGGGCAGACTTTAGTCATCCATCCAGCATTCCTTCCCTCCGTGCCTAGCCACAGTCTCAGAATCCTTCACAGCACAGCCCTCCTAGCAGTCACTGGCCCCGTAGTGCCTTTCATGCCCTTCATGCGTGTATTACAACAATCGCCACATCCCTGATGTCGCTCAGTGCTCTCGCTGTAATTAAGGAAAATGAGGCCTGGAGAGGGGAAGTGACTTGGCCAAAGCCCCACACAGGTGAGTGCCAGGGGCAGGCTGAGAATCAGGCATCCAACTACAACTGACTGCTGGGCCATGGCAGTGAACTTCAGCTGCAGCCTCCTTCCTAAAGGTGTGCGTTGGAATCTGAGCCGTGGCAGTGTCCTTTGTATCTGGTGACATCACGTGCAAATCATGAGATGTCAGATGTGTCTGTCTTCGTCATCCCCTTTCTGCCCATGGATGAACCATGTTCAGGAATGAGCCCAGGATGAATAATCAGTATTCTAGGAGCCTAGTTTTTAGCTCTGCCCTCATTTCACACTCTGACTGTGGACACTTCTCTTTCATTCCTGAGACTTAGTCCTCCCTCCTGTAAAATGGGGCTATAACCTCTGCCCTGCTTTCCTGCCTTGTGGAGGTTACTGTGAAATCCCTCTGAATATGAAGGATGATCCTTAAAGGGAGGGTAACGTTTCTACCATACCAGTGTTCATCACATGGTTCCTGCATCCCTAGGGTTTTGGGGGGAGGGTGGGTGGGTGGGACCCTAGACCCCTCCATGTATCCCAAGTAGCCCCGTTTTATATTGGGCTTCCGTGTAAGACTGTGTGTATAAAAGTCTCTGTGACAAGGAGGGATGGAGGGAGGGAAGAGAAAAAAACTTCTTCAGCTGGCTACACACGTGGGAGAGCCCCAGTGTAGACACTTTGAATTGGAAACTCCCGACCTGAGCATGTGAATTTTGTTTGACTGAAAAAGCAACACCTGCCTGTTGTAAACCATGTGTAGCTTAATGTGTATTTTTCTCATAGTAGGCTCTTTTTTTTTATTGAGATGAAATTCACATGACATGCAATTAACCATTTTAAAGTGTACCATTCATTGGCCTTTAGTGTATTCACAGTGTTGTACATCCACCACTTCTCTCTAGTTTCAAAACTTTTCATCACCCTAGAAAAACTCCCTGTACCCATTTAGGCTGTCCCCACTGCCTCCTCTCTCCATCCCCTGGCAACCACCAATCCGCTTTCTGCCCCCTGGACTCACCTGCCCTGGATATTTCACATAAAAGGAATCATACGTTATGTGGCCTTTTGTGTCTGGCTTCTTTCACTTAGCATAATGTTTTCAGGATTCACCCAAGCTTAGCATGTATCAGTACTTCATTCCTTTCTATGGCTGGATAGTTCTCATAGTAGTTTTAATTAATTAATTTTAGCTTTTTTATTATAGGAAATGTCGAACCTATGCAAATAGGGTAGTAAAATGAATCTCCATGTACCCATCACCCAGATCCAACGGTCATCAAGTCATTGCCATCATTTCATCCATGGCCCGCTCTCTCCACCCCCATATTCACAGCAAATTCAGGCATCATATAGTTTCATCTGCACATCTGTCAGTAACCATGTGTAGTATGAAAAGGCTCCTGGAGATTCATATGCACGGCACTGGGTGAGAATCACTGATCTGGTAAGCTTTTACCCCACACACTAGGCAGCATCTGTCTCTGAGTCTGTTTTAAGAGGCTGCCCAGTGACTGATTTGAAGCCAGGTTCAGGAACCAGAGATAGAATGTTTATTGGTTCTGAAGTTTCCTTGATCGTCTGGCTCTCGGCAGATTTGTTTGCTCGTGATTCTTTTTGTTGCCCTTCTGGTATAAGTTGAAACAGGACAGGGAAGGTGCCCCAGCAGCCCTGGGAGTTCCCCAGAAGAGGGCCTCGGCGGTGACCGGCTTAGCAAGATCAGTGGGTTCTGGTCAAGACTGCCAAGAGGCAGTCTTGGTAGAAGCAGCGTTTAGGGCTGGGCATGGGGTTCAAAACCCTGCTCCAGCACCTGGGTTTCTCACCTCACCCGGTACAACTGCCTCTTAGTGAACCTTTACTGCTTTTGTAATGTCTCCATGTGTCCAGCAGATGGCGCCTGTGTTCCACCTCACGTCTCATCTCTTCCAGGATGCTGAGCCAGCTCCTGCCTTCCAGACAGATCTAGGACCTGACAATCCTGCTCAGAGATGGTAGTTCCTGCGGAGACCCTCACTTGCCCTGCTCTTCTGTAGCTTCCTTGCAATAAAGTCAAGTCGATTTTGCTGGAGATGTTGTCTCTTGCCTGGTCTTGATGTCACTTGCTTACGTGCTGTGCCGTGCTGCTCACATGTTGCTCTGAAGGAGATGACTGCAGTGCTTGCTTGGGTGGGAGTTCTAAGAGCTCCCAACTGGGTGAAAGAGGTCCGATGGATTCCGAGTCTTTGCTGTGTGAGCTTTTACAAGTCACTTCCCCTCTCTGGGCCTCACTTTTCCTCATCTATAAGTGAAGGTGGGTGATCCTCTTTCTTTTCACTACTTTCTTAGACTCCGTATTGTGAAAAACTTTTGTCTGTCAAGTGAATCGCATTTAAGGGAGGTAAAATTGTATGGCAGTTAGAATAACGGGAAGAGGCAGCGAAGACAGACTGCCTGGGATAGAGTCCAAGCTCCATACCTCCCAGCTGGGCCACGTAACCTCTTGGTGTCCGCAAGCATAAAATGTGGTAACAGCATCTCCTGCAAATGGTGGTTGTAGGGATTAAATGAGGCGACTCATGTAAGTCGCTTAGATGGTGCTTGTCAGTTAGTAATCACTCAGTGAACATTCTCTATTCACGTACATTTTTTGTGTGTATTTAATTATCAAAGATCTGTAGAAATGGCAATTAGAATTCCAGTCAGCCTAAAAGTTAGTGCCTTACAGAGTTGATGCAATTATATCAAAACAAAGGGAAATGTTTTAGTTTGTACAGCTTTACTTATTTTTTAAAAATATTTCTTTAAGCCAGCAGCTCTCAAACTGTTTCATCCCAGGACCCTTTTACACTCTTAAAAGTTACTGAGTATCTCAGAGAGCTTATGGTTGTGTGGGTTATGCCATAACAGAAATTAAAACAGGAATTTTTGTAACACAAGAATACGCAAGCATATATCCCATTAGCCATCAGGGTGAGATGAGGTCATTGCACAGCACTTAGATTCTGGAAACTTCACTGCATGATTGTAAGAAAAAGAGAAAAAGGCATCTTGTGTGAATAGTTTTGACCTTGTGTTCCTTCTGAAAGGTCTTAGGGACCACACATTGAGAATCACTGCTTTGACCATCTACTGGGCAGTGACTGGGGACCAGCGCTGCTGGACCTGGGATGAGACCCAGCTCTGCCTTTGGCGACCTGTGACCTTGGACCAGTCACCTCATCTCTCCCAGAGGCAGTTTTCTCACCTGCACAACGTACCATATCTGTACCTCAGGGGCCTTACGTAAGAGTTGGCAAACTTTGCCAACTCTGAACTGTATGCTAGCATAATTTGGGTCCCATTATGAGAGTATTAAAACAAGTCTCGGCCATTTCTGCCTTTGTGGTCCCTTGGGGGCACAGGGACTCTCCCTGCCCTCATGGTATCTAGGGTCCTTGGCCACAAGATGGCAGTGTTCTTTGGCTCTGACCATCCACGGAGACACTGAAGACAGTTTCTGTGGGCGCTGGGAGTACAAACTTGAGTTTTTCCATTTTCACAGCTTCCCAGGAGACCTGGTTCAGGCTGTCTGGCCCACTGGGAATGCCCAAGGGTAAAGACACTGGTGTCTTGGGCCGAGTGGTCATTGGAGGAGTTCCTTTCCTTTGGCTCTTCTCTTACCCCCCACCCCGCCGCTGGAATCCAGGTTTCCAGCTGAGGCCAAGGCCCCAAGCAGCTGGAGCAAATGAGACCACACAGCAGGGTGTGGCAGGGGGGAGCAGATGTGTCCGCCTGTCACCCAGGTGCTCTCCCCAGCACCTGACCCCAGCCCACCTGCCCAGCGTTTCCAGCGCCCCCTGCAGCCAGCCGCGCCTCCTGTGTCTCCCAGGTGCCTTGCGATTGTTTATGCTGCCCCGAAATGGCATGATCTCTGCCTGCTTCCCCAGCCCCGCCTGTCTCCATGTACAAATTCCTTTTCTTCCCTTGCATACCACAGCCTGCATGAAACCTCTCCACAACTGGAAGTAATTTATTTCTCCTCTTGGCCCTCACAGCATTTATCCCACTAGCTTCGGGGCTGAGGCAAAGCTTTTCGTCCCCGTGTCTTTCCTGTCCTCAAGGATCAGGCCACGTATCTATTCCCTCAGCGCACAGAACAGGCACTGAGGGGATATTTGATGGATGTGTAATGGCTGCCATCTGGGGGGCATTTATTGTGTGTCCTGCCCTTGCGTTCATGCCATTCATCTTCATCTGGTCCCTGTAAGCCAGCGGACCAGGACAGACCCAGAAACGTGGTAGGTGTGCCGGAGGCGTTTGTTGAGTTAATCTCACAGAGGTGGAGATCACCTGGTCTGATCCTTTCAGCAGGGTTATGTTTTTGTCAAAGGTCCCTGGTGTGAGTACAGCAGCCTGGAGCCACCCCTGGGGCTCACTGTTCCCGGCTCCTTGGCCTCTGTCGACCACCCCACCCTGTGGCCAAAGCCTTACCGTGTCCAGTGCTGACATTCCCAGGGCTGGAGAGAAGCCTCACAGCCCCCATGAACTCGGGAGAGGGTCCATCGCCCGTGACCGGGTGAGCTGCAGAGGGAGCCCGTCTGCTCTGAGTGAGCTTGAGCAAGTCACCTCCTGTCCCTGCCTCCTGTTAAGGACAAGTTTTTGACTTTTAAGTGTTTTTGTTTTTAACAGCTTTAATGAGGTATAATTTCATTCAATAAACTGTACACAATTTAAGCCTATATGTAATTTTTAAAGATACACATACACGCTCATGTAAACCATGAGCGCAATCAAGACAGTGATGACAGTCATCACCTGGGAAAGTCCCCTCAGGCCCCTTGGAAACCCTTCCACCCCTCCCTCCCCCCTCAAGCAACCACCATCTGCTTTCTGCTACTATCAATTAGTTTGCAGTTCCTAGACTTTTATTTAAATAACAATCACACAGAATGTACTCATTTTTGTCTGGCTTTTTCCGCTCAGCACAGTGACTTTGAAATTCACCCATGTTACTGAGGTATCAGTGATTAGATACTCACTTCCTATCACTGAGTAGTATTCCATTGCATGGCCATACCACAAAGTGTTATTCGTTCAACTGTTGATGGACACTGGACTTGTTTCCAGTTTTTCAAACTGCTGTCTGAGGCTGGCCAGGTTCCCCAAGGGCTCCACGGGGCACAGGGGGACAGTCTCAGATGCCAAACCAAAGCAGCTCAACATATGGTTTTACCTACCGAGCCTCCACCTACCGAGCCCAGAGGTATTCAGCCACGATCTGGACTTGAGCAGATCTGGATTCAAATTCCGTCTCCACCACTTAATAACTGCATGACCTTGGGCAAGTAACTGATTCTTTTGTGCAACTCGGTTTCCGCATATGTAAAATGGGGATCATAATGTACCTACCTCAGGTGGCTATGGTGGGACTTAAGATCACATGCCTAATGCTTGATGGTGGCATTCCACAAATCAAGCTTTTTGAACAAAAAGTTTCACAATTATACAACTTGAAGTTTGAAAACTGGAATTTGGAAGTCATTGGATCTAGATCCTTTCAACCCTGCAGACTCAGAAGGAAAAATGGACCCTCAAGCGCTGTGCTGTGTGGAGGAGAGTGGTGGTTGTTCAGGTCACAGCCCTCTTTGTGGCACCCTCCTTTAATTAGGGACAGTCTCTTCAAAGCACGAGTCTGTAATTTCTGGGGAGTGCCCGGCAGAGCTGCTTTCAGATTTCCATGTCTTTAGGGGCTGTGGCCACTTAGTTTAAGTGGATGAGGCGAGTCTTCTAATCTGCCTCCCAAGAAGGGAAAGGTCTGCAAATCTCATGACTGCCAGTTGGAGCCTTGAAAGAAAATATCAAAGCCTCTGGAAATAAGGATGCTGTCTATCCCCCACCGGTCTGCTCGTCAGGGGCTCCTAGTATCCTAATCCTTTTAGGACCACAAATCCCCAGGCAGCTAGAAGCCAGCTGGATCTCAGATAAGAATGCAGGCTCTGCAGACAAACGGATGGGTTCAGTGCCAGCCTGGCTGTTTCCCAGCTGTGTGAATTTGGGCAAGTCGCTTAACTGTCCAGGATCTCAGTTTTCTCATCTGTAAAATAAGAATAATAACTACGCCTTCTTCTCAGAGTGATATACGCACACGGCGAGTGCTCAGCTTGGCTGCTGCTATCACTGCAGGATCTTTGAAAAGAAGGCCTGGCTGGTCATCCAGCCCAATGTCCACATCCACGCCCCCCTACACCCGACAGTGGGGCCCTAAGCCTTGGCCTGCACACTACCCCTGCGAGGGAATGCCACAAGCAGCTGGCTCCGCTCTGGACAGCAATCTGGGGGAAAGTTCTGGCGTTGAGCCCACCCTCACCTCGCTGGCACGTCTCTCACGACTGGGGCTGGGTTCATCCTGACACCCGGGGCATCAGTCCAGCCCCTCCCCATGGTGCCTTCTCAGAGGCAGAACTCGCTCTCCCCTTCCCATCCCTACCCCACTCCCTGGCCCACCACTTCCTCAGGGACGGAGCTGGAGTTATCAGACCACCTGGTCACTAGCCTCTTCGTTGATGCCCCTCCTCCCATTTTTTTTTGGCCGTACCTCACGGCATGCAGGATCTTAGTTCCCCAACCAGGGATGGAACTAGTTGCCCCTGCAGTGGAAGCATGGAGTCTTAACCACGGGACCACCAGGGAAGTCCTCGTTGATGCCCTTTTGATAGTGGAAGGCGAGAAAACACGAAAAGGCCAGGCAGCCCTGGACTCCCACCACTCCTAGGCCCGTTCACACGGTTCCCGGCGCAGCACGGAAGGAGCTGGGCTGAGTCCAGAGAGCACGAAGTCCTCACACAGGGGAACCTGGGCAGGTTACGCAATCTCTCCTCATCGGGGAACTGTGGCTCCGCCCTGGATAGCACCTTCTTCACAGGTAAGGCCCATAAAGCACCTAGCATGCGCGTGTGCGTGTAGCACGTGCCTGGTCAGTGCTGGCACTCACTTTTACGTTTTGGGGAGTGGGTCCCTGAATCTGATGGCTCCATAAAAGGAGACTGAGGCTGCCTGGTCAGGGCACACCCCCAAATCAGACCTGGCCTCTATTCTGCTTCTCAGTCACTG